GACTTGGCCCTTGGGAAGCCTCTCGGATAAGCCCTTTCTACCTGACTTTCTGGGCTGGAGTAACCAGGCCCCACCAGGCGCTGTCTGAGAGGGGCTGAGACAGGCCCACTCATCCTTCCTCTGAGGGCCCCACAGCTCTGCCAAGATGTAACAGGTGTCTGTTGGCTGGCAGCATGGCACACCAGGAGAGCACACAATCTCAGCCGAATTCTCTGGGAGGACGTAAAGCTTTTGCTCCCTTCACTGCCTCACTCCCCACCTGCCTGCCCACTGGCTTGTTGGGCTGCTGCCGGCCCCTAGAAACCAGGTGGTGCCCTTGTGCCCCAATGCCAGTCCTTGCAATTACAGGTTGGCAAGCCCAGGGACAAAGCGTGCCAGACGGTGCAGCAGCTTGCTGGCGGCTGGTCTGTGTCCTGGGGCCTGTGTCCTGACTGGCTCAGGCAAAGAGTTGGTCCGTGAGAGAGGAGGCTTGGGTCTCAGCTCTGCCCCGGGCACAGCGAGCCCCTAGGGGATGTTGGCCTTTTCCCTTCTTGGTGGGCCCAGAATCCATTCTTTGCAGTTCAGAGTCAGTTACCGCCCAGCTGGAAGACTGAGCTGAACCAAGATTGAAGGCGATGCCCCTGCCACCCCACAGGGGCTGACCGTTTCCGCCTGCTTCCTCCTCCTGCCAACCTGTGTGTGCCGGTGGACAAGAGGAGAGGAATGTGTGTGTGAAGATCTAAGTGTGCGCACATCCACTCTTGTGCATGGATGTTCACAAGAGTGAAGACACAAGCATTTTGTGTACGTGTGTGTGTGTGTGTGGGCATAATTGCTATGCTTATTATGAGACCACAGGTATGCGTGGGTACATGCCAGGTTGTTATTTGGCAAGTCCACCCCAACGAGCCTGTGCCAGGGTGTATAGCCATCATGTTTCTGGTGCCCTTGCCACACATGTTTTGATAGTTTGAATGGCTCCCCATTACCTACATCCGTACGTAGTTGTGGCGTGTGAGTTCTTCGTGTGTGTCTCAGGTTGTGGGTGTGCGTGTGTGGGTGCTTGTGTGTGAGTGTGTTTGTGTGTTGATCTCGTGCGCACGTGTGGGAGGCCTTGGCTGTGCGTGCGTCTGGGCATGTTCACGCGGCCGCCTGCGTGACAGTGTGAGCGTGGATACCTGTGTGGGTGGGTCTCTGTGGCCGGGGATGACTAAAGCCAGGGACATTCATCATCACTCTCCTAGCTCCAGGGGGAAATTATCTTGGTCTGGAATGGCCGAGGCCAGGGACGGAGGGGCTCCATGTTTCTCAGGCTGCAGGCAGTGTTCCCAGGCCCTATCTCCCAGAGGGATCTAAGTCAGGGTGCAGGGAGGCCACACGGACTTGGAGGAGACGGGGCAGTCAGATTTCTCTTTCGGAAGTCCCCTCCGGGGCTGGTGTCTGGAGGGATGGTGGGGCCTGGGAAATTGGGGAGGAGACGGCCGGGGAGGCCTGGAGTGCACTGGCCAGGGGCCATGGACAGGAGAAAGAGGCAGATTCAAGGAATGTGCAGGATGCAAAATGGACAGAAATCAGTGATGAGGGGTGTGAGGGTGAGCAAGGCATGTAGGGAACCCCCAACCCCAGCATCTGGCCTGGGTAATGGGGACCGGGCGCTATTCCTGAGCCAGAGGAGATCAGCTCCAGCAGTTTGCTGACCAGTCTGCGCCTGGGGCCTGCGTCCTGGCCGGCTCAGCCACACTGGGCAGGAACAGAGATGTTTGGGGACGGGGGAGAAAATGAGTTTAGGCAGCTGTTCAGTGTGAGGTGCCTGTGGCCGTCCAGGAGGGAGTGTCCAGGAGGGACCTGGGACTGCAGGGCTGAGATGCCCATGTAGGAGCAGCTTCGAACAGTCAACTGAATTCTACAAACCAGAGCCGCTTTATTTATTTATCTATCTATTTATTTATTTATTTATTTTTTGAGGCAGAGTCTCACTCTGCCGCCCAGACTGGAGTGCAGGGGCGCGATCTCGGCTCACTGCAAGCTCCGCCTCCCAGGTTCACGCCATTCTCCTGCCTCAACCTCCTGAGTAGCTGGGACTACAGGTGCCCGCCACCACGCCTGGCTAATTTTTTTTTTTTTTTTTTGTACTTTTAGTAGAAATGGGGTTTCACTGTGTTAGCCAGGATGGTCTCGATCTCCTGACCTCATGATCTGCCTGCCTCAGCCTCCCAAAGTGCTGGGATTACAGGCGTGAGCCCCTGCGGCCGGCCCCAGAGCACTTTTTGTGTGTTTGCTTTGCTTTTGAGTTGTGGAGCCCAGGTTTGAACTGCTCGTGGAAGCCACTGAGCTCTAGGACCTAGTGTGCACTGGCCTGTGAGGAACCCCAGTGCAAAGCGGGGTTAGCAGCTTAACAAGCAGGGGCTGCTGGTGCTGGAGGGTCCTGGTGGAGCATCTGGGGCACCCTGGCGTTGTACCGTTGGGGAAGCCAAGGTCCAGAGGTGGTGGCCTCCCCAGGCCCGCTCAGCAAGGCAGGGTGGGGCTGGGCCCATCCACCCCAGGAGGTCACACCCCTTGGCTGTGGAACCCCTCCTGGAGCTGAGTCAGCCCTGGTGGCCGCCGCCCCAGGAGACTCTGTAATTACAGGATTAGAAGGTGGTCTCTCCGCAGCCGGGCCCTTTGCCTCTCAAAGCTGCCAAGTGGAGACGAGGATTTGGTGGCACGGTGCCGGCCTCCAGGTGTGTCTGAGGAGACCTGGCATCCTGGCAGCTTCTTTAGTCTGAAAGGCCCCATTGTAGCTGCAGCCTCCCTCTGATGGGCTCTGTTTTGGGGCCGGGATCCACCCTGCCCCAGCTGGAGGAAGGAAAAGGTGTATTTCAGCATGTCCTATGGGTGTGGAGTGGCTGGGGAGAGCAAAACGGGGGGCTGGTTGGGGGACGGGGTGCCTGGGCTGCACGGAGAGGGAGGTGGTAGAGGCAGACGCTGGCGACGTAAAGCGGGGAGAGGCCTGGAGGGCCAGGTGCAGGTGCCCAGAAAACATCGAAGGGGGGAGGGTGTGAGTCAGGCCAGGCTTTCATGTGGCCCCAGGAGGCAGCTGGCAGACCCTGCTAGGCTGGAATGTGGATCTGCAGCTGCCCAGGCCCCACCTGAGACCTGTCTGCCAACGACTTCTTGATTTCTGCCCCTGTGGGTGCCCGGCCCGATGTCCCAGGCCTGAGGGAGGCCCACCTGCCCTCAGGGGCCTCTCAGTTTGGGGGCCAGGGACCAGGCACTGCAGTCCCAGGGGCTGAGTTAGACCAGGAGAGCGCATGGCTGCTTGGGCTCCTTGGCTGGTTCTGCTCTCCCTCCACCAGAGCTGGGCCACATTCCTGCCCCGCCCAGCATGGTGGGCACATCCCAGTCCCCTTGCCTCCGCTCCCGTGGGTCCCCGGCTGGCGTGGTCTTGTGGCTGTCCCGGGCCCGTCCTGATCCTGACTGTCCTTCAGGGCTCCCCACCGTGCAACCTCCGCCCAGGGACTCCCTGCCCATCTCGGGCTGTCCTCTGATTCCCCGGTGCTAGCCTCACCAGGCACCGTGGATGCTGGGAACCCCCCTCCCCGAAGTGGCCTCTTCACCCTCACCATGCACAGGCCATCACGGGGCGGGGCGCGGGGGGCGCCCATCAGCACGTGGCTTGATGCGTGCCCTCTGGCCTGAGTTTATCTGTGAAATGGGTGTAATGACATCTGCCTCACAGGGCACCTAACCTGAGGGGTCAGACAGGGTCACAAGAGAGGACAGGGCTGGTGCGTGGTGGGTGCTCGGGCGGTGGTCCTTCAGGTCCTCTGTCCCGGGTGCTCTCCCGCCACTGATCATCAGGTCTTCGGGTGCCTGAGCCTGGGCTACCCTGGGGATAGCCCCGTGATCCAGGAATGACTAATTCCACCCTTGCAATAAGCTCTTGGAAGCTTTGAGAAATGAGACTTTTTTTTTTTCTTTCTTCTTGCTGCTTCATTAAACTCTTCTTGAGTGAGGGGAATGAGGATTGTCCTAATCCCTTGGCACGAGGTGAAGGGGGGGCAGGTTCCGGGCTTGTGGTAACCAGAGGACACTGGGAGCAGAGTTGGGGGTGGGCACTGGGGAGGGGCCGTAAGCCTCATGCCCCAGGCAGGCTTTACTCAGGGTCAGCTGGTGACCCCAGACAAGCCACGTCGTTGACCAGGCTCAGTTTGACTGTCTACATGATGGGTGTCCCAGGCCTTGCCCCCCTGCCTGTGCTGCTCCACGGGGAGGGGATGGCCTGAAGGGGCCTTTGGTGGGGTGCCTGGGGCTGGGCACGCTGGCTGGCACACAATAGGTGCCTTCTCAGTGTATATGAACTTTTGGGGAAAACAGAGGAGGGGTGGGCAATCTCCAAGCAGTCTTTTAGTCTTTGTCCTCTAAACTCTGTTTTTCTTTTCCTCTTTTTTTTTTTTTTTGAGGCGGAGTCTCACTCTATCACCCAGGCTGGAGTGCAGTGGCGCGATCTCGGCTCCCTGCAACCTCTGCCTCTTGAGTTCAAGCAATTCTCGTGCCTCAGCCTCCCGAGTAGCTGGAACTACAGATGTGAGCCACCACACCCTGCTAATTTTTGTATTTTTAGTAGAGATGGGGTTTTACCATGTTGGCCAGGCTGGTCTTGAACTCCTGACCTCAAGTGATCCGCCTACCTCAGCCTCCCAAAGTGCTGGAATGACAGGCTTGAGCCGCTGTGCCTGGTTTAAAGTCTGTTTTCTTACCTTTAAAAGTGGCCTGGGAGGAGGCCTAGCTGCTTCCTCCTGGCCCCCAGCGAGGGACTCCAGGGGTTGGACACTCGCCTATGGGTCCTGGCTCTGTCTACCCACCGTCAAGGCTGCTGGAACTGGAAAAATAGTTCCAGGCCTTCCTTGCTAAATCCAATAAGTTTCAACAATGCCTTTCTCTGTGGCGTCCCAGTCCCTCCTCTCCACAGGTGGGGAGCAACAGGTTGGATTAGTGACTGGGGTCTGGGAATCCTCACTGAGGCCACCCTGTGTCCACAGGTGTTCCTGGGCCTTGGGGAGCTGCTTCTGTCCTGCAACTGGGCGGTGGTTGCCGACATCCTGCTGGTAGGTGCGGGAGTCGGGGTAGGGGGCTGAGCAGGGGGAGCTAGACAGAGCCCAGCTCAGGACTGGACCTCTGCTGGTGAGCAGCTGCCTGGCAATGGTGTCAGAGACCATGCATTAGGGGACCAAAGTCATTCACGGTTACCTTGAACCAGAGGCCTCTGACACTCTCAGATGTCTCTGACCATCATCCCCATTTTGCAGATGAACAAATGGAGGTTCAGAGAAGGCAGGTGCCTGTTCCAAAGTCACACAGCCCCAGCGCAGGGAGCCAGGGCTGGAACCTACGCATTTTGACTCCCTGGGCTCCCTCCCCCCCGCCTTTTTTTTTTTTTCTTTTTTTGGAGACTGAGTTTCACTCTTGTTGCCCAGGCTGGAGTGCAATAGCCCGATCTCGGCTCACTGCAACCTCCGCCTCCCGAGTTCAACTGATTCTCCTGCCTTAGCCTCCCAAGTAGCAGAGACTATGGGCACCCGCCACCATACCTGCCTAATTTTGTATTTTTAGTAGAGATGGGCTTCACCATATTGGCCAGGCTGGTCTTGAACTCCTGACCTCAGGTGATCTGCCCGCCTCAGCCTCCCAAAGTGCTGGGATTACAGGTGTGAGCCACGGTGCCCGGCCCCTCCCTCCTTCTTTCTGTAGCTTCTCAGCAAGCAGGCTCCTTGGCCTCCACTCTGGGGCGTACAGACGGGATGCTATCCTTCGGGGCAGTAGCCACTGAGGCCCGCTGCGCCAGCCCATACCAACTTGTGTGTCACAGGCTGCCACGCAAGGATCAGCCCTGCCTGTAAGAGGCCTGATACTGTCTTGACCACATGACTGCTGCATCCAGAGTCCCACACGGCCCTTCCCTGAGCCCCACGCCCTTCGTCCAGCCTCCTTGCCTCCTTCTGGGAGGTGTACAGGGAAGGACTTTGGACACCATGAAGGGTTGTGCCTTTGTAGATAACACAGGGCCCTGGGCCTGTGAGCACCCTGAGAGCCTTCCTTCCATCTCCTAGCAGCCTGGCACAGTCTGGTGCTGGCCACAAGGGAACTGGACCAGCCTGGCTGTCGGCTGAGAGCTGTCCTGAGGGCAGTCCAATGTCGGGGTACCAGCCTGGATTCAGAAAACAGACCTGGCTGTCAGCCCTGGTCCTGCCACTTATGAGCTGTGTGGCCTTAGGCCAGTCACTGTGTGTCTCTGAGCCTCGGTATCCCCAAGTGGAAAGTGGGGATGATAATGGCACCTGCCTTATGGATTGATGTGAGGGTGAAATGAGAAGATCCATGTGCCTGGCACAGAGAATGCTGGCTAGGATTCTTACAGCAATCCAGAATTTTACATTTTCTCATTTTCTATCCCCCAAAGAAATCATGGTACCCTAGAATCTGAGTTTGAAAGGGTTATGGGCATGTATAGTCATTTACTCCGTCAACAAACCCTGCTTGAATACTACTGTGGACGAGATGCTCACTCCCTGCCAAGATGTCTGCCCTCCCCGGCAGATCCCCTGACCCCTCCCCACGGCCCAGGCCCAGCGAGCATGGAGACGCCTGTCCTGTCTTTGGCTCCTGGGTGAGTGCATCAGCTGCAGGGCTGGCAGGTCCTCCCTGCCCCTCCCTCCAGACGGGAGACTTGGGCTCCAGCCCAGAGTCAGCCACAGACCTGCTGCATGGCCCTGGGCCTCAGTTTCCTTGTCTATAAAAGGGGTAATCAGCACCTGCCCCGTAGGGTGAGTGAGGCGGCCTCCAGGAATGCTCAGGAAAGGGGAAGGCATTGGCAGATGTTTTATTCATGGGATTGTCCGCTTTTAGGCTCAGGGAAACTAACATCCCCCCAGCATAGCTGGTTCTCTCTGAGGTGGTCCAGACGGAGCTGCACCTGCCCCCGCAGCTTCCCTGACCTGCCCCCAACGGCGCAGCTCCCTCTTCCACATGACAGCCCCGCAGATATGTGAAGGCTGCACCGTGTCCCCCAGCGTCTGCCTTTGTAAGAATGATTAACCTGGCAGAGCCAGGCTCTTTGTGGGGTTAAAGAGGAGAGTGTGTGCTGGGGAGGGCGGGTGGGGGAAGGGGTGAAGGAGAGTTAGGGACTGGCCAGCCGCACAGTTTTACCCATCTGGGGAGCTGCCCAGGGAGCCGGCTGGACAGGAGCCAGCCCACCTCAGGGCTCCCCATGGTCCTTCCTTGGCTTAGAGGCCTCCAGCCCCAACGCTTTGCAAGGTCCACCGCCCCAGAGCCTCCCGCCCCCTTCCCTGCCTTCCCACCCTCCTGGAGCCCTGCAGCCAAAGTTGCCTTTCGGCCTTTGGGGGTCAGAGCTGAGCAATCCTTGTAGCCCCTGTAGTTCAGCTCCTCCATGTTGCTGCTTCCTCCCTGTAAAGGCCGGTGGAGGGGGAGCCCTTCTGTGTAGTGGAGGGGCAGATGCCAGCTTGGAGCAGGGTGAGGAGGGTGAGGAAGGGGAAGCAGGACACCGACGGTAGACAATTCCCTTGGGGAGCTGAGTTGGCAGGAGCAAAGGGCATGGTAGCTGGAGTTGGCAGAAGATCCCGGGAAGCTGGTATTGCTTTTCTGCTTTTCAAGACGGGAGGCCAGAACAGCCTCCAGGGAGCAGGGAGGGGCAAGCAGGAGGAAAGAGGGGGCCCTGTTCGAGGGTGAGCTGAGGGTGGGATCCAGCGCTGGGGGAGGAGGTAGCCTCCCAGCACAGCAGGGGCAGGAAGTGTGTGGGGACAGGGCCTGTGGCAGGAAGTAGAGGAAGGTCCCCTTTGCTGGCCGGCACTTGCTCCTGAGACAGGAGATCGGCTTCTCTTTCGGCAGGGGCCCAGGGAGGGAGGAGGCCTTAGGGTGTATGTGAACAGGGGCCACAGAACAAGGGAGCAGGGAGCGAAGGACAGGGCACAGTCATGTGAACAGCTTTCAGTAGCCAAGAAAGCCACAGAGGGCTGATAGGAAAATGGGTGGAAACTGCAGGTGTCTGGGAGGTTGGAGCCTGTGGGTGGGTCAGAGGGCCGAGGGCAGAGGGCAGCAGAGCCCAGGCTCAAGGACTCTGCAGCAGCCCATCTGCTTCCGCTTCTAGCCCAGCTCCTCACTAGCTGTGTGGCCCTGGCCAAGTGACTGAACCTCTCTGGGTCTTGGTTTGCTCACCTGTCCAATAAGCAGAGCGGTGGCAACCACCAATGACACCCCAGGCTATAAGAATAGAATGAATTCACTCCTGCGTCCTATAGATTCCTGAGTGGGTGTGTGGGCCCCGCTGACTTCCAGATCATCCATTCCTCGGGACACTCCTCTCTCTTTTTTTTGCTTTTGAGACAGAGTCTCTCACTGTCGCCAGGCTGGAGTGCAGTGGCGTGATCTCGGCTCACTGCAACCTCTGCTTGCTGGGTTCAAGCTATTCTCCTGCCTCAGCCTCCCAAGTAGTTGGCACTGCAGGTGTGCACCACCACGCCCAGCTAATTTTTGTATTTTAGTAGAGACGGGGTTCACCATGTTGGCCAGGATGGTCTTGATCTCTTGACCTCGTGATCCGCCCCCCTCAGCCTCCCAACGTGGTGGGATTACAGGCGTGAGCCACTGCACCTGGCAGGGATACTGCTCTCTTCGATGCAGTCTCCACAATGGGGAGAATCCAGGTTCTCTCTGGAGAAGGGACCTCAGGGGCTGTCTGGTCCAGTGGCTTGAAGACATCACTGTGCATGAGAGTCAGGTTTGAGGGAGCTTGTTACACACCCTGATTCCAGGCCCTGTGTCCTCCAAGTCCACGCTGGGGTCCAGGGACCGGTGTTTCTGATGAACTTCCCAAGGGATCCTGCCACCGCATTCCGTAGAGCACACTTTGAGGACACTGGTCTCGCATCGCGAGCTCGCCAGTCCGTAAATGCTTTGCCAAATTCCAGCCATCCCCTTGTTCACATACACCTCCCTGGAGCTCATTCCTCACGCCGCGGGCAGCGCCTGCCTCTCAGGGGCTTTCTGTTGATGAAAATAATTCGGCTCAGTCACAGCCAAGACCCACCTCTGCCACCCTCCCCTTGGCCCCACTGGGCCGCAGAGGGCCCTGCTCCCTGGAGACTGAGATTATGTCCCCTGAACCTGCATCTCCTCAGGCAGAGCTCCCTGCCTCCCCACACCTAGTCATGGGGGCTCCCTCCCAGCCCTGCTGTCTGTCCCAGCCCCACTCAGGATGGCCCAGAGCCAGCTCACCCCAACCCCTCTCCAGGCAGGGGACGGTGTAAGCCAAGGTGTGGAGGGAGGATCCCGGGAGCACGATCTCTGGATCCCAACCAGTGTGGGGGCTACAGAAGGAGGGGGTTCATTTCCTCTTTCTCAGGCCTGTCCTCTGGGGTCCTGCAATCCAGCCACAGGCTCATCTCCCACCCCTCAGCAGACGTCCCCACACTTCCCCGGAGAGTTGTCACCTCTGGGTTCTCCCCCTGCCCCAGGTTTCAACGCTTCCCCGCTCAGCCTCTGCCCCCCAGGTAGCTGTCGGCTCACTGGCCTGTCTCACCCTCCCAGGGGTGTTTGGGGGCGAGGCCTGGGTGGGGGTGCAGGAGGCAGGCTGCAGGGGGAGTCTGCACCTGGTGGCTGCTTCTCTAACTTTCTACAAGCCCTTGGTTGGCCCCGGTTTAGCCCTGGGCTATAAAGGGAACAGCTCTTCTAAGAAGGGAGAGCCAGAAACAGAGGTGTTTTTGTCTCAGAATAGAGTGAGCCTGGATTTTTGGGAACCCAAAGCCTCTTATTTCTGAAATTACCCCCTGGGCTCTCCAGCTTCTGTGGGGCCCAGTCTCGGCTGCTGGCTGCATGGAGACAATGCAGACTTGGAACAGGCTGGGGGAGACCCACCTCCCTCGCCACTGGCAGCAGCGACAGAGCTGGGCCCAGCAGGTTGGGGTTCCTGGAAGAGGAGAAAGTGGCCACCCTACCTGGACCTTACTGTGGGGGTCCCAGCAGCCCCAGCCTCCATGTGGACCTTTTTGGACATTCAGGTTCCTCCCTCCGGGAAGCCTCAACTGCCTTCCTGGAGCCACCAGTGAGTAATTACGTAATTATAGGGTGAGAAGGAAGTCCTTGGGGAAGGTGCAAAGCTGTTGGTCAGTTCCTTCTCAGGCCTGTTGGCAGATCCTGGTGATGGCAAGAGGCCTGGTTTCTCTCGCCACCTGCGCAGGGTGGCTCAGTGCCAGTGACCCTGGGACCAGACAGTCACCACAGTGACTCCCGCCCTCTGCCCTGCCCACCACAAAACCCCCTGCATCCACCCCCTGGGGTTCTGGAATGCAGAGATCCTGTCCATGGGATCCTCCCTCCACACCTTTGCTTACACTGTCCCCTGCCTAGAATGCCTTTCCCCGTCTCTTTGCCAATTACTCTGCCATCCGTTTACAGGGCTAGCAATGAACTTGTCCTCCTCATCTTTCTCTTGGATTTCTGAATGCTCTATTACAAATGCACAAATATTGCTGGAAACACCGGCTCCTCCTTGCCCATCACAGCAGAGTGGTCAAAAGGCCAGGTCCTGGAGGGAGAAGGCCTGGGATCCTATCTCAGTCCTGTTATTTCAGGCTGGGTGACCTTGGGCAAGTCACTTGCCCTCCCTGTGGAGGTTTTTCTCATCTGTACAATGCAGGTGGTCATCGTATCTCCCTCATGGGTTGTTCAAGTTGATGTATAAAATGCATACAGCAAGCATTCAATAAATGTTGGCAGTTATTTATTTTATTATTTTTTTTTTGAGACAGGATCTTGCTCTGTCACTCAGTCTGGAGTGCAATGGTGCCACCTCGGCTCACTACAACCTCCACCTCCCGGGTTCGAGTGATTCTCCTGCCTCAGCCTCCCGAGTAGCTGGGATTACAGGTGCGCACCACCACACCCGGCTAATTTTTGTATTTTTGGTAGAGACGGGGTTTCACCATGTTGGCCAGGCTGGTCTCGAGCTCCTGACCTCAATTGATCCACCTGCCTCAGCCTCCCAAAATGCTGGGATTATAGGCCTGAGCCCCTGTGCCCAGCTAATATTGATTGTTACTAACTCACGGCCTCAGGTCATGGACACCTAGGTCTTGGGGATAAGGCTACAGGGTGGTAAGCTCCCCTGTGGCTGTCCAGCTGGGTTCATGTGACCATGGTCTCTGCTTGAACCCCCTCCCCCTCCCTCCTTCCACCCCCTGCTGTAGCCCTGGGTTCTGGCAGAGTTTCTCCTGGGCATAGTCTCCCAGATGGATCTACTTGACTTATTTTGTTGGCAGACTTTCAGCTAGTCGCCTCTGTGCCTGGTACCTCGCTGCACCCAGGGACCCCAAGAGAAATTAAAGGTCTTTGTTGGCCAGGCGTGGTGGCTCAAGCCTGTAGTCCCAGCACTTTGGGAGGCTGAGACGGGCGGATCACGAGGTCAGGAGATCGAGACCATCCTGACTAACACGGTGAAACCCCGTCTCTACTAAAAAAATACAAAAAACTAGCCGGGCGAGGTGGTGGCGCCTGTAGTCCCAGCTACTCGGGAGGCTGAGGCAAGAGAATGGCGTAAACCCGGGAGGCGGAGTTTGCAGTGAGCTGAGATCCGGCCACTGCACCCCAGCCTGGGCGACAGAGTGAGACTCCCTCTCAAAAAAAAAAAGGCAGGGCGCGGTGGCTCACGCCTGTAATCCCAGCACTTTGGGAGGCCGAGGCAGGTGGATCACGAGGTCGGGAGATCGAGACCATCCTGACTAACACGGTGAAACCCCGTCTCTACTAAAAAAATACAAAAAACTATCCGGGCGAGGTGGTGGGCGCCTGTAGTCTCAGCTACTCGGGAGGCTGAGGCAGGAGAATGGCGTGAACCTGGGAGGCGGAACTTGCAGTGAGCTGAGATCCGGCCACTGCACTCCAGCCTGGGCAACAGAGCGAGACTCCGTCTCAAAAAAAATAAAAAAAATAAAAATAAAGGTCTTTGTTGCCTACACACCATAGGGAATAAAAGGAGGTGGACAGAGAAGGGGCCCCTCCCAGTTCTGGGTGACATGAGTTCAGTTAGGGGTGTGCACAGGAGTTGCAGGAGCTCAGGGCAGGTACCTGAACTCTGAGAGGGCTTCACAGAGGAGGTGACCCAAATGCAAGTCCTAAATGACAAATAGAGATGCTCCAGCTGGACCAGAGGGTGGAAGGCATGCCAGGCAGAAGGCGCAGCCAAGTTCAAGTGCCTGGAACGTTCCATCTCAGAGCATTATTTTGGTTTGATGTCCACACGAAGCCTCCAGGTAGCAGACGAATAATGATAATGAGTGACACTCTCAAGATCGGTACTATTATTATCCCCATTTGGGGATGGAGAGACAGAGGGAAGAAAGGTGAAGCAGCTTGCTCAAAGTCACACAGCTGGCAAGTGGGGATCGGATCAGAACCCGAGACTCTGACTCCAGAGTTCATCTTTTTTTTTTTGAGACGGGGTTTTGCTCTTGTTGCCCAGATTGGATTGCAATAGTGCGATCTTGGCTCACTGCAACCTCTGCCTCCCGGCTTCCAGCAATTCTCCTGCCTCAGCCTCCTGAGTAGCTGGGATTACAGGCATGTGCCACCACGCCCGGCTAGTTTTTGTATTTTTAGTAGAGACGGGGTTTCACCATGTTGCCCAGGCTGGTCTTGACCTCCTGATCTCAGGTGATCCACCCACCTCGGCCTCCCAAAGTGCTGGGATTACAGAAGTGAGCCACCGTGCCTGGCCCAGTGTTCATCTTCTTAACGTTCTCAGCCTCGTCCGTCGAGTTGTGTGGGCTTCTCCAGCAAGGCTGCCTTTGGTCTCTGCCCCAGGGGCCCTGCGGCTCCTGAGAGGACTGAGCCCTCCGTACCACCCCTGCCCAATTGCCCGCACATGCAGACACCTGGCATGCACCTGCTCTTCTCCCCACCCGCCTGCACTGCTGTGTCCTGGGCCCCTGAGCTGGGATACCCCACCCCCTTTCACTGTGGTCACAGTCATGCCTGGTTCCTTCCCATTTCAAGAGCAAACTCTCAAGAGGGGTGGCCCTGATCGGGGGACTTGGCACCCCCATCCTCGGGCACTGGAGAAGCTTCAGATGGGCCTGATATTCTGGGGTGGGACTTTAGACCTTGGGGGTTGCCGACTCCCTCCCATCCCACTCACCTGAATGGCCTGTCACTCCTCCAGGCAGGTCCTTGGCAGGTGGGGAACAGGAGGCAAGGGTGCCCTCACTTGGGGTGCCCCCGTGCTGTGCCTATGTTTTTCAGTCTGTGGTGGTGCCCAGGTGCCGGGGGACAGCAGAGGCACTTCAGATCACAGTGGGCCACATCCTGGGAGACGCTGGCAGCCCCTATCTCACAGGACTTGTAAGAGGTGTCTGCGTGTGTGGGATGGGGAGGGTCTGGGGGCCAGCCTGGTGGGCCTGGCGTCCCACCACTTCTCCTCCACAGATCGCTAGTGTCCTGCGGGCCAGGCGCCCTGACTCCTACCTGCAGCGCTTCCTTAGCCTGCAGCAGAGCTTCCTGTGCTGCGCCTTCGTCATTGCCCTGGGGGGCGGCTGCTTCCTGCTGACTGCGCTGTACCTGGAGAGAGACGAGGCCCGGGCCTGGCAGCCTGGCACAGGTACCCTACCCCTTGCACCAGGCCCGGCTCAGGGCTGGACACCCTAGGGGCAGACAGCACTGGCCACCCCCCGAACCCCTGGCCAGTTTGTTTGTTTACTTGTTCAGAAATGCTTAGTACACCCCTGCTATGTACCAGGGAAGGTTGCAGAGGCTGGGGAGGGAAAGAATGAGGCTCCTGTAGAAACTGACACTGTAGTTGGTGAAGACAGACCAGAAACAGAAAAAGTAAAGATATAGCATGTTCAGGGTGACGAGTGCTATGGAGAGATATAAAGCAGGAAAGGAAGGAGACAGGGGCCGGGCACAGTGGCTCACACCTATAATCCCAGTACTTTGGGAGGCCAAGGTGGGCGGATCACAAGGTCGGGAATTCAAGACCAGCCTGGGCAACATGGTGAAGCCCTGTCTCTACTAAAAGTACAAAAATTAGCCAGGTGTGGTGGCGCACACCTGTAGTCCCAGCTACTCAGGAGGCTAAGGCAGGAGAATCGCTTGTACCCGGGAGGTGGAGGTTATGGTGAGCCGAGATCTCGCCATCTCGCCACTGCACTCCAGCCTGGACAACAAAGTGAGACCGTCTCAAAAAAAAAAGGGACAGGTGGGTGCAGGTTACAAGGATCCCCACTGCGCAGGTGACATTAGAGCGAAGATCTGGAGGAAGCGAGGGAGTGAGCCGTCCAGCGACCCGGGGGAAGACGCTCCTAGCAGTGGGGACAGCCAGTGCAAAGGCCCTGCCATGGGAATGTATGCACCTGATGTGTTTGAGGATCAGCCAGGAGGCCAGTGTGGCTGCAGCAGGAGCAAGAGGGACAGTGGTAGGGGTGAGAGATACAGGGCCAGAGCAGGGGGTCCTTGTAAAGACCATGGCTTTCGCTCGGAGTGAGGCGGAGCTGCCGTGGGGCTTCCAGGAGAGGAGCACTCAGGTGGTCTGATTGATGTCAAAGCGTTGCCCTGGCTGCCGTGTTGAGAACAGACTGGTCAGCGATGAAGCCGAGAGGCATAGCCGACAGCCGACTCCCCTTCCAGGGGACAGTGGTGCTAAGACCACGCCAGGGGCATTGAAGGTGATGACGAGGGGTTGGATCTGGAAGGTATTTTGCATTGGGGACAGAGAGGATTTCCTGACAGCCCGTTCCCAGGCCTGGTCCCAAAGCACCTTCTGCATCCTTTGGGCAGGCTGAGCCTTTTTCCTCCTGCAGGGACCCCAGACAGCAAGGATGTGGACAGCAACGACCTGGAGAGACAAGGCCTGCTTTCGGGCGCCGCTGCCTCCACAGAGGAGCCCTGAGGTCCCTGCCTGCACTCGCTCTGCCTGCCAGCCTCCCGTTGGGCCCCACAGTAGCCGTGCCTCGGTTCCTCTTTGGCTGTCCTCGGGGACTCCAACTGAGGCGCGTCTGCCACTTTTGCATTCCCGGCTGGAGAGCTGGCAGGACCCTGTGGCTGGGCTGCGAATGGAGCTGTCAGCACTCTGCGTGGGAAGCCTGGGCCTGTGCCTGTGCCCCACTCAAGGCTGCCCCAGCCTGGGTTCCCCAGCCTGGCTGCTGCTGGGTGCTGAATAAAGCGAGGCCAGTACAAAGCCTATGGATTTCGGGCCTGTAGACAGCCCTGTTATTTATATCCTCTTGTGCCTCTGCTGGAGGGGAAGGGGGAGAGGACGGGATGGGCAGTCCAGGCCAAGGATGCAGGGCTGCCCTAAAGTAGGGAAGCTGAGGGGGTGGCTCGGCATGGGTCTCTGGGGGTCCTCAGCCTGGACCTCCCACTCTGACCCAGCTTCTCCATTCTGCAAAGTCATGGGCACTGGGCACCCTCTTTGTGATTCCACTCTGTTTTGTTTTGTTTTGTTTTTGAGATGGAGTTTCACTCTTGTCCAGGCTGGAGAGCAATGGCGCAATCTCGGATCATTGCAACCTCCGCCTCCTGGGTTCAAGCGATTCTTCTGCCTCAGCCTACCAAGTAGCTGGAATTACAGGTGTGCGCCACCATGCCCAGCTAATTTTTGTATTTTTAGTAGAGATGGGGTTTCACCATGTTGGCCAGGCTGGTCTTGACCTCCTGACCTCAGGTGATCTGCCCACCTCGGCCTCCCAAAGTGCTGGGATTATAGGCATGAGCCACCGTGCCTGGCCCGCTCCACCCTTTGAACAAAACGTGGGGGCTGAATCTTGCTCTTGGAGATGAGTTTCCACTTGGGCGCTGGTGTGGGGATGTGGCTCCAAGTTCCAGGGAACCACACAGAGGAGCACCCACGCCTACTGCTCCAGAACCCTGCTGAGGACTAGAGTGGCCTCCCGGCCTGCCCGGTTCTGTAACCCCAGCCTTCCCTGGGCCCACACTCTGACCCCAGCACAGCCCGTGGGGAGGGCTGGCTCTGCGGGGCCCACGCTTGCCACTGGGTTCAGAGCAGCTGGGCTCAGCGGGCCCTGTGGGAGATCGACAGCTTCCAGGCGGGCAGCAGTGGGAAGGCTTGTTCTCATGTTCTTTCCGCCTCCCCTGGTGCCCAGCCAGGCATCACTTGCTCACTCACTGATGGCCACCTTCGCTGTGCCAGGCTGTGCCTGTCTCCCAGCAACTGTGGGCAGAGCAGCGACTGAGACTCCTGCACAGCCCCTGATGCTTGCTTGCTCTGTCCCTGCCTTCTGTGGGGTGCCCCCCAGCCCTCCCTGTTGGCTGCAACAGGCCCCAGGAGCAGGGCTCTCCAGCTCAGCCCCCACCTACACCACAGCCAGCCCTCCCTGCAGGCTAGCCAGGCCCTTGACCGTGACTCAATGCTTGGAGCTCATGCAACAGGCAGTCCTTGAAGTTACAAGGTAAAAGATCTGTGAGAATATTTTGTTTTTCCTGAGAAGGAGGCAGCAACTGGGCGGGAGCCAGGATGCCACGGTCCCTCTCGACACTCACTGGCTGTGTGACCTAGGTGGCTCCCTGACTCCCTGAGGGCCGCTGACTCCCTGGCTGTGTCTGAGAGGTGTGTTGACGTGGCTTCCTAACCTGGGCATGTGATTCGCACAGGCTGGGTCTAGACCCACAAAGGCCCAGCTCCAGCGTCTGAACCTTCCTCCCAACAGCCCCAGGGAGGGCCCCTGTGAGGCGAGGCTCCCAGAAAATGAGTGAGGGCTGCCCAAGGGTCAGAACACTCGGCTGGGCACGGCAACTCACGCCTGTAATCCCAACACTTTGGGAGGCAGAGGCTGGTGTATTGCTTGAGGTCAGGAGTTCAAGACCAGCCTGGGCAACATGGTGAAACCCTATCTCCGCCAAAAAATACAAAAACTTAGCTGGGCGTGGTGGCCCGCATCTGTGGTCCCAGCTCTGGGAGGCTGAGGTGGGAGGATCGCTTGATCCTGGCGGTGGGGCATGGAGTTTGTTGTGAAGGGAGATGGCCCCACTGCACTCCAGCCTGGGTGACAAAGTGAGACTTTGTCTTAAAAAAACAAACAAACAAACAAACAAACAAAAGAACACCAGCCGCCACCTCCCCACCCAGAGTCCAGTACAGGAAGAGCAGGAACCTCGTTCGTGCCCACTCTACAAACATGCATTGGTATCAGTGGGTGCCCATCGGGGTGTCCAGCAATGAATCAGACTCCAGCCCTGCCCTTGGACCTCGCAACCCACAGCGGGACAGGCAAGTGTGGCACACCTATGGGCAGAGTAAGGGCTTCCGTGCCCCAGAAGCCTTCAAGGAGGTGGCTTTGGAGGTGGTAATGAGGTGGGGGGAAAGGGAATTCTAGGGGCAGGGGATGGACCCACAAAGAGGGGGAGGGCGGGGGAAGAAGATATGCAGTGAGTTATGGAGGGGTGTGGTGTGGCCAAAGAGGAGGCTGCATGTGTCATTGAGCGGGGAGAGGAAGCGAGAGGCTGTCTGGGATCAGAGGGGTTTCAGATGCAGGTCGAGGAGCTGGGGTTTTAATTCTATAATCCAGGGTAGTTTCTTATGACTCAAGTGCATTCTGATATTTGGGTTGCTGGGCAGGGCAAGGCGGTGCTCTCCAAGGCTGAGCCACACAAGATGCCCAGCTGGGAGTTCATAGGAAGCTATTGTCTAAAGTGGCTTGGGGCAGAGTGGGAGCTCTGCGGCTGGTGGACGCAGCGAGTGACGGAGACCAGTATCTCCTCTGCAGCCAACCCAGACTCCCACCTCCTGCCTCTTTGGGGCCAGTCCTGGTGGGTCGAGGTTACAATAACAGCCTGGGGGAACCCAGTCACTCGGGCTAGAGTGGAGTCTGGTAAACAGAACACATCTTCCTTGCCTAAAAGGGCCCTTGTTGGGTAATCTCAGCCACTAATACTCTGGACTTGTTTGTTGGGAATGTCAACAGGAGGAAAAATGCTGCTCAGCAGGATGAGTCCTTAAGCCTGACCTGGCTCTCTTTATGTGTTAATTGCTCTTTCCAGACATACACTGCATTCCAGCTGCCAGGTAGTATCCATGCGTGGAGGTGTGTCTGTGTGCGTGTGCCTGTGCCTGTGTGAGCATCACCATGTTTGTGTGTGGCCACGTGGGGGTATGCTAGCTACCGGAACCCATACCAATAGGTATTAGTAAAGCTTTTTTTTTTTTTTTTTTTTGAGATGGAGTTTTGCTCTTGTTGTCCAGGCTGGAGTGCAATGGTGTGATCTCAGCTCACTGCAACCTTGGCCTCACAGGTTCAAGAGATTCTCCTGCCTCAGCCTCCCAAGTAGCTGGGATTACAGGACCACTCCACCACACCCAGCTTTTTTTTTTTTTGAGACGGAATTTCACTCTTGTTGCCCAGGCTGGAGTGCAATGGTGCAATCTCAGGTCACTGCCACCTCCGCCTCCCAGGTTCAAGCGATTCTCCTTCCTCGGCCTCCCAAGTAGCTGGGATTACAGGCATCCACCAGGCCCAGCTACTTTTGTATTTTTAATAGAGACGGGGTTTCTCCATGTTGGTCAGGTTGGTCTCGAACTCCCAACCTCAGGTAATCCACCTGCCTCAGCCTCCCAAAGTGCTGGGATTACAAGCATGAGCCACTGTGCCCAGCCTTAATTTTTCATATTTTTAGTAGAGACAGGGTTTTGCCATGTTGACCGGGATGGTCTCGAACTCTTGAACTCAGGCAATCCACCTGCCTCAGCCTCCCAAAGTACTAGAATTACAGGTGTGAGCCACCATGCCTGGCCTAAAAGCTCTTTTTCCATGTCATTCTGAAGGTTGTGGGGGTTGAACCTGTGTGTCTGGATTCCCATACCCTAACCCTGGCTTGTTCCTCTGCCACCCCAAATATCGGTCTGTCTGTTTCATTCCCTGAAGTGTTTGACTTTCCTTTGTGCCTTGGTGGGCTTGGGAAGTTGTTTAATCTAATGCAGCCTCTACAGACAAAAGTGGCAGCAGGCAGCTGGAGTTTCCAGGAGTCATGTTTTATCTCAACACAGAGAGGTGTGTGACTGTGTGTACTCCTGTGGACCATATCAGTTTGGGTTGTGGGGTTGTATGCAACAGAAACAGACTGACTACCTTTACCAGGCAAAGGATGCATTGAAAGCACATCAGGAACTCAAAGACTTGATGAGAAGGTTGGAGATTCAGCAGCCAGGGTTCCTGGGCCATATTATTGTGGGGTCTGTGCCAGAACTCCAGATATTTTATCCCTATTCTTTTGCCACCCTCCTCAAGATTTAAAGCCTTGGGCAAGAGATTCCAGTTGGGTTAGCTTGGATTCTATGCCCATGCCTTGATTTATAACCCCATTAAGATCAGCAGACCAGGGTGCTGTTAGGAAGAGGAAGGAAGTCTCAGCACCAAAACAAAATGAAACAGGAATTAAAACAAGATGACTGGCCGGGCACGGTGGCTCATGCCTGTAATCCCAGCACTTTGGGAGGCCGAGGTGGGTGGATCACCTGAGGTCAGGAGTTCGAGACCAGCCTAGCCAACATGGAGAAACCCCGTCTCTACTAAAAATACAAAAATTAGCCGGGCTTGGTGGCGTGTGCCTATAATCCCAGCTACTTGGGAGGCTAAAGCAGAAGAATCACTTGAACCCAGAAGGCGGAGGTTGCAGTGAGCCAAGATCGTGCCATTGCGCTCCAGCCTGGGCAACAAGAGTGAAACTCTGTCTTAAAAAGGAAAAAAAGAAGAAGAAGAAGAAAGAAAACAAGATGACAGAAAACGAAAACAAAGGTAGCATCCACTACAATATCTTGGGCAGGCCAGTGGCATCTCTGAGACGCAGCATCTCCATGGGACGGGGAAGAGGCTGGACTCAATGCCCTTCAGTGGAGTCTTTATTTCTGATAGTCTGAATCCATGATGAAAGGAGACTGAAGCTTCTATAATGTAGAAAGTGTTAAAAATGTTCAAATGGCAGAACAGGAACTTCTGTGTTAGTGGGGACTCAGAGCCATCTGTTCTGAGCAGGAGAGAGAGAGACGAAGTGTTCTGAGCAAAGGCAGGCTCAGGCTGGGGGAGGGAACAGGGGCCCCATCCAGTCCCCAGCTTGGCAACAGCAAGAGCAGAGAGGAGGTGCCTTCTCCACACCGTGGGTGGTGACCTGCCGGGAAGGCTAATCAAAGGGTGGAGGCAAATAGCAGGTGGAAGCTAATGGAGGGTGGAGTCAATCAGGAAGAAAATGC